CATAGTGGTGGCCATCACCACGGTGCCTACTGACACGACATCACACGCAAACCATGTACGCGTGCTACTGAAACTGTGTCATATTGTCAGCCGTGCACCAGTCATCAGGTGAACTGCCACCCTGGATGATGAGGGCCTGAACTGCCCCCAACTGCACTGTTTAGGACCTCTCGCCCACTCAGCAGGAGCAGCTGGTTGCATTGCACATGCTGCTGGAGTGCAACATGAATTGAGAGAAGTGCAATCAAGGTCCAAAATTGGCTGGCAAGCATTGTGTAGAGAACCGTGGAAAGAAAACCTGCATCATAGGGCAATAATAAGTTATTTTAGGCCGAGTTTCTTCATCCTTGCTTTATTCAGTTTCATCCAAAGCAGCTGGTGCTCCCATCTTTTGTTGCTCGCCCAACACAATGTGGAAGAGCTGGACTTCCACAGCACCAAGTGCATTGATGGGAACAACGGTTAGCGTGTCATTGGAAATCAGCTATGACAGACAGTTATAGGAGAAAGGAAGGCGAGTGCAGCAGTCTTGTGTTTTCCCTCCTTTTCCTTTTCTGACCTTCTGTTTGGTTTTGAAGTGACCGATTTCCACCAGCTTGTCCCTTTCCTTTTCGTTTGTGATCGACAGAGCAGGCCTGTTTTCTGCGAAGTAATTAGATCAATCTAAATGGACATTGCTGAGGGCTGCCCGTCTCATAGGTTACGTGCTGTACTGGAAAACCCGCAGCACGAGTGTGCTGGTCTGAGCACTTCCTTGGTTAGGAAGGTGCTCGCATAAACTAAACGTCTTTCCAAAGTTTCACATTCTTGCTATTTCCAGTAGTGCATGAAAGTTATGAGAGAAGGTAAAAGCAGTGGTATGCCATACACTACTGCTTAGCACACCGCTGGGATTATATTGTATGCAATATCTCTAACATGCTGTTTAAAAATGTATATATTTGTAAGCATTGTAAGCATTATTTGTAAGCATTAGCAGGCTCTGGTGGGACAAGCAGCTGCACATGCCCAGCAGTCATCTTCCCTGACCCGTGATCAAACTCGTGCTGCACCTCATGGTGGTGCAGAATTTTCATCTACAATAAAAATGCTCCCTATGCACTATTTTGCTTCGTCATGATTTTAGTATAGCATGAAAACAAGATTTGCAGAAGTACCTTGGTCATATTCGCCAAAATTGTCATACATTGAATAAAATTTTTGGGTCAGCAAATCTCGGTGCAATTGTTTATGTACCGACACTAGTACCACAACTTCTGATGTCAATGTGAATTTCGTATACAAGAAACCAGAAATTTCCCAATTAATGGTGGTACGATGGTGGAGCTCCAATCGTCCAGATGCCAGCAACCACAGTTAATTCTTCACCCATTCTTTCTCTATGCTTAGAACAATACACTGTTCAAGCCGGAATGCTTACACAGTCAATGAGAAACAAGATGCCACCCGTGAGGGGGCCCTGCTTTTGTTCTCGGACGTAATGCTTCGGAGTGTAGCTTACGCTGTTTGCATTTTTGCCAGGTTACCCTTGCCATAAACATTGTGTTACAAAGCTTTTTCAGAAAAAGCAACTTATCACAATCATATAAAGTTCTAATTTTAGGTGCCATACCAAAAAAATCTCTGACATCACATGCTTGGTGAGATGTTTTTTCAGCCCAGGTACCAGAGAAATAAAAAGAAATATACTTGTTCTCTCTTTCTAACATGAAACAGAACTTTCTGAAATACCAGACCTGCCTGCCGTGGGCTTGGTGTGAGTCGTTTTAATGCATATGCAATTGCTTCAGATCAAGAAAAGTGTCCTTGCATCAAACTGCTCCTTTATCTATAATAGGTAGTCGATAAAAGAACCCAACAAAATGGAATGCCGCTTGTACTGTCTGCTAGGTAGATCGCTCTGCAGCCAAAAGAGACTTGCCGTGTCTACTAGATTGGGCAAGTTACAAAGTATGACACAAAATTGCAAGCAGATGCACACAAGTATATTTCAGATGTGACGATTCGAAAGACGAAGTGTAACAGGCTCGACGACTGTCAGGCCGCAAGTTTGATGAGGGCGACCCTGGTAGGCAGCACATACTTGGGGTGCAGAGGCGGCTGCCTTTATTATTTTCAACGCTGCACAGCTTGTCCTCTGCTGTCAAAAATCGCACCGTCCTCGGGGTCGAACTCTTCAGGAGCAAGAGGCTCGGGAAGATAATGTTATACGAGCCCGCCTTGTGCAGAAAGGCAAATGATGTTGCTGTGCCCAGAACCTTCGCAACCAGTGGACCTGCCTTTGAGCATCCTATTCACTGCTCCACAACAGAATCTTAAGCAATGCTTATTGTTAAGCTTGGCCTTGGGACACCACAGCTTCCATTGAAATTGCGAGGAATCGGTGTGCAACCACGGTTTCAGGGGTTAGTCGCTGCCACCTGCACTCAACGGCCTCCGACTTTAATGTTTCATAACCTTTTCAGTTGTCCAGAAGCAGATCAAGGAGTAGATAGATGCTTTCTGTGCTAATGCAGTCTGTGCTTGGAACTAGTAGCATGTAGGTTTTTATAACATTTCAAAAAAGCCTGCAATATAAAGATAATAATAATATTAATTGCAAAAAAAATAATGTGAAGGTATTTACACTTGGCTTGCACAATACCAAAAATCATGTCTTGCAGAGTAAAGAGGTGCAGCTTGAACATCAGGCAATCGAAATTATGTATCATAATCTGTCCATACAAACAGAGCTTGGCTGGTGTAAAGTGAAAACGGACACAGCGCGCTTAAGCTGAACAATTTCCCGACGTTGCAATGGGGCCATAAACCTTTGGATGAATTATACACATGCAATCACTAGAGTAATCATGAATGTGTGCTTGAAACGATCTCGCACAACACTCATCGCGCTCAATGAGGAGCCCGTTTTCTACCGAGAGCTGTCGTGCAAGCACGTTGAGAAAATATTCAGTTCAGACTACTAGAACACAGTGTACTGATACGTAAAAGTATTTACCAAGCGCACTGCTGAATTGGCATCGCTGAACTTCTTGGTTGTCGTCTCTCCGTCTTTCGCGCGAAGTCCACCCACCTTGAACCCCGGGTGATAGATTATCGCCTCTGTAATATCCAACAGAGCGCGACTCACAGCGCACCGATGCACGGTGATATGTTCGCCGCACCAAAATGTGTCTCAAGCATCGCAGAAGCTGAGAGCACTTGCTGCTCGGCTGTCAGCACGAGGGCCCCTCGCGACGCCGCCAAAACTACCGCGGCAACTCTCAGAGCCAGCGAGTGTCGGGTAGTATTCCCCGATTTCGTCCCTGACGAACCTTGAACCGAACACATCAAAAACGTAGCGATGGTCCGTGAAAGATCGCTTTGGCTCGCCCCGTCCGCGAGCGTGAACGTCGCCATCTTCAATGAGTTTGGCAACTCCGGCCGCCTGACAACTACAAAGTTATCTCAATCGCCAAACTGAATCGTGACGACATTTTGACGTCACCGCTAACATTATTATTTCACCAGCATAGCTCGAACTCCATCGGAATCCGTAGGGAAAGCTCAATCGCAACGTCACATCACGTGACCAAAAGGGCAGCCAATCAGCGACCGATTGAGTTAACTTTATCGTTGAGTTTGCGATCTAGCATAGACAGACTGATCGAAGCGCTATCTCTGGGTTTTAAGTAATCCGGGGGAATATTTTAAAGTCGGCCCGCTCAATGAGGAGTTCGGACAACGATATACGAAGAGCAAGTGTTCCAGAAAGAGTGTTTGGCGAATCGGAACGCAGGGACGGGCGCGCCAGTCAAAGAGCAACAAAGAAAACTCACAATGGAAGCGCAATGGCGAGGCACGCAAGCACGCGCCGTCATATGGTGAAGTCGGCAGGAAAAGAAAAGCAGGTGCGCGCATTTGGGCTGTAAACAAAGGCACAAGATGGGCAAAGAGCACACGAACTTGCAACCCTTATAGGGATTAGGGAGTATTCACTGGCGGCCATAGCTGTGTGCGCGAATGCTGAGTCCGTGCTGATGCCGAGCTTCCAGAGTTCTTTGGCAACGTGCATTCAGCATTATCAAGATTGCCGGTCTTAGGAGCCAATTAATGCGAGCTCGTTATGAGCATGCGCTCTAAACAGCACCCTTAAATATGGGGTCCAGTGAATACCCCCTATAGCGACCTCACTTTTGCGAACTGTTTCAATATTCGCGAGAATCTGATGCATGGAGATTGCGGGACATGCAGTTTTGCCTCTACCGGTTGTTACAGTATCCAATGTTGCTTGAGATGTTGGGACATTCTTCTTAGTTCTTGGACGTCAGCTGTATCACCGAACGCTGGCATGACGAATTTAATGCCACCATAAGCAGCGCTGGGATTCACCTTTCAATTTATTAGGCCTGCAGGATCGTGCCTCATTTACAAAGTGGCCGCAATAAACAAGTTTTTTGTTTGTTTTTTAGCAGCAAATATAAACTATGCGTCGTCAAACGATCAGTGTCGGCTTGAATGTAGCGCTAGCTGTTCGGACCAGACGCTAAAGTCTGCGAGCTTGCAGTTTTTTGGTCCGAGTGTTATAAAGAATTTTAAGAAAAATTTCAATTTGAAAATAGTGGTCGATTATAACCTTCGAATACACGAAGCAGAATAACGTCAGCTACAGGAATTAAACTTCATTATTTCCGTCGAAATTCTTAAAAATCACTTGCTACTTTTGAAGAAGAGAACGGTTATAGTTTTGAAAATTTGGCATTTGGTTCGGACCGTAAGTGCTACTTTTGGGCGGAGATTAAGCGTTCGGCAAAGCATAGCTTATTTTTGCAGTGACAAAATATCTACATTTTTTTTTCTCGGAAACACACCGTAGAATAAGTATTCTCAGTCATAGTACCTTATCCCTGTCCACACTGTGGGAGGAGAATAGTGAACGCGCCCCCAACATGCCGAAACAGCTGTACCCAATCAGTCCTCCCTGCCGAAGACAGAGTCCAAACGTCGGCGACAGTCCGGGTCTATAGCGCTGTCGCATAAACCTTGGTGAGATCACCGTTCTTCATGGGCCAGCGGAAGAGCGTCTTGAAGTCGTTGGTTCTTTGGAGTCCGATTTTCTGCTCAAAGTACAGTTCCTCGCTGTTCCTCATCTGCACGATGATGGTGATGGTCGAGGAGTACGGCGAGTCTCGAAGCAGGTTCACCAGAAGCAGCTCGGCGATGTCTTCGGCGTCTGCGTAAATGCCTCGCACTACGGCGTGCCCGGTCATGGTGGTGGTCAGGATGGCGTAGCCGCAGACGCGACTCAAGCCCCGGCAAGCCACGACCGTTCGAGCGTCACGTTCCTGCATTGTACGGGTTTGAAATCAGAACTGCCATCACAAGCACTCTGGGTATCTCGAAATGTAGCCGCCAAGAAGAGTCGGAAATTGTTTCGAAGTTTGATAAGAAATATAAAGGCTAATTCACGCGAGCGTATGACTACGTTTAGATATGTTTTGCTTCGTGGTGACAGTTTAGGCCAAAATGAAACTGCGTGCTACCATAGGAACCAAGTGTTGATCTGCTTACTTGGCGAGGTCACTTCAGTTGTTTCTTGAGGCGAGCAACGAATCCTACTCAGATCAGGTCAAAATCTATTTTGTGGACGGGCCTCTGCTCAAAGATGACTATACACTTCATTTCCCTATACGCTAAAAGTTAGCTTCACCCTTCTCTTCAAATTTCTTTTTTTCAATGCTCCTAATGTTGGCATTAATCCGCGTTGTTTTTGTATCAGAAATTAAGTTACCGAACACTAAAGTACGCCTGAAAATATATCATTGAGCTTACGCCGGTTGAAGTCTCGACGAATTTCTTGCGGCACGTTCCGAAGACGAACTCGTCGTACTTGACCACGAGTGGCAAAATCTGTGGCGTCAACTCCTGAACCTGTACCCCCGAAACCGCCTGCGTGAGCTTGGACGTCTTCGGCACTCCGGGTCCCAGAGACTTGAGCTCCCGGATGTAAATTTGGAAGTTCCAGCGGTCCCTGCGTGCGTTAAACACAAATTCTAATAAAAAATTAAAAAAAAAAAGAACTGCAAGCAATGTTATTTTTATTTTTTGCAGGCTGATAAGGTGCGGCGACCCGCCACAGGCGGCAATTACAGGCTGAAGCCAATGACGAGAGTCCCCACGAAACGGCGTCATGGCGTTGCCGCGATCTAGCCCAGCGCTCGTGAGACGCTAAAGCATGAAACACATGAACGGTGAAAGTGGGCGCCGCGCTGTGCTCGTAGCTCGCCGCTAGGATCGCCACAGGTGCACCGATCGGTTTTTTCTACATCGACAAGGGTCCCTAATTTGGACACTTGGCGAAAAAGTCGGCGAGGAATCTGGCGGCCGTAATTGGTCAACGCCACACTTGATCTTGGCGCCGGATAATCATATATCCTTCAGATTTCTCGCCAACGTTTTCGCCATTCGCCAAGTGTTTAGAGTAGGACCCAAGTTCGAGCAACGCCGCACAGCGCGGAAGTGACGTATATCTCACTTCCGCGGCGTCTCTATAGGGACGCCAGCCCCGGTTGCTGATACTGACGCGTGCCTTGCGGCGACTCTTCGTTATTTGCTTCAGCCTGTTATGGCCTCCGAGATGCGCGCGCTTCATTCGGAGGCCATGGAGCCTGTACTTGCCGCTTGGAGCGAGCCGGGACATTTACCAACAATGACATTTGGGGGAGAAGAACGCGCGTCTCGTCTTCTAGCAAGCGTCGGTACCACCCGTGCCCCGCGTCGGTCTCTTTAGCTGACGTTTGAAAATTCAGCCCTCCGGCCTTGTTACCTCGTAGGTCTCGATTCACTCTGCAAACCAACAACTAGCTGAGAAGGACGCAGCGTTCACTTTGATCAGAACTGCTTTAACGTGAAACGTTTTTTTGGCTAGTGGCTCCGAATTACGCCAAGCCGCATACCGTGAAGCCGTGACCCGTGGCGTCCCATAATGCAACGCGCGCAGTGTTGCACCATGGGACGTCACAGACCTACACGTCAATTCGGTTTCTCCATTTAAATTTAGCGGGGAAGTTGAATCGGTGTACAGGTCACGCGACGTCAGTTTCCCCGCTAGATGGAGCGGAAAAGTTAACGCCCCATGACCTACGCACCGTTTCATTTGCCCGACTAAATCTAGCGGGAAGCGGGAACGCCGCATGACCTCATGTCACTGGACTTGAACGCAATTTAGTTTCTTCTCTAAATTTAGTGGGAAAATTAACGTCACGTGACCCCACACACCAATTCAGTTTTCTCGCTAAGTTTAGCGGGAAAATTGACGTGAACGTGGCCTCATGTCACATGATGCTTGAACGTTTTGACAGTGCGAGGGAGTGCCATGAACAATTCTTTTTAAGGCGTACCAAGGCTAAGGAGGGCAGTGCGTTATTCAATTCAAACTGGGGCTGGGCGTCGATTAAAAAAAAAAAAAACCGCATCTCCACGTGGTGAATGATGTTGATTGGGGCGAAGCTGTGGTGGTGCTTGTCTGCATAGACGCTGAGCCGCAGCATGCCGAGCCTTTCGTTCGTTTTCATCCATGTCACGCTGCGGTCAAATGCTCAAATGCGTGTATAACCACGTTCCATACCACACATTCTCTCTCCGACATGGATGAAAACGAACGAAAGGCTCGGCATGCTGCGGCTCACCGTCTACGCAGACAAGCACCACTGGAGCTTCGCCCCAATCAACATCATTCACCACGTGGAGATGCGGTTGTTTTTTGCCCTACACGAGCACGGGAGCACGTGCTCACGTGCTCGTGAGCACGAGCATCCGACGCCGGACATCGGACGGACATACGGACATGGCTAGCCCCTAAGAAGCTTCGCCCCTAAAATTTCGATCCTATTAATCGGCATTCTTCAATCGATTAATTATCTGATTAACCGGTTTCGTTCAATACCACGCATAATAGTATTAAAGTAAAAAAAAAAAAACAAGTTTATCTGTGCCAAAAATGTGATAAACGGCGCAATACAATTTTTTTTTAGATTTCAAATGAGCCTCAATACGCAGTTGAAAACTGTCAAAAGACACCCACGCTCTTAGAGGAGCGGTGCAACGGTATTCAATTGGAATGTTTTTCACCTTACACGAGCTTATGGCACTAGTGGGACTCAAGGACACTCGCACGCAACGCCACTGGCTAAGAAACTCCTTTGTTGCGGTGTAATTTCAAGGACAAAAGCGATCATTTTCATTCAATCTCTCCTTTGCAAATTTTGATGACGTAACGTGGGGATCGCAGTGCACCCCAAGTGACGATATTTGAATGCGGTTCATAGATTGGACCCGAGCATCGCGTGGGAACTCGATTTGGGCTCGTGATAATTAGTAGCTCGAGAAGCATTATGGTAGTGGCCCGTGTCCAATCGCTGCAACAACGACAATAGCCGAGCCATAACAATGTCTGGAACTCAGCGCGTGTCCTGTGCTTTGCCAACTCCAGCGCGTGGCTATGATCAACATTGGCGGCATATCATCGGCTACAGATCACGTGGCCACTTGTTCTGGCTGCCAGTTGAGAGGGTGAACGTTCTCGTTTTTCTTTAATTTTTTTTTCTGGGACTTCTGTTGTGTGGGGTGAAAAACGAACGGGTGTTTCATAGGTCATTAACGTCAGGGATCTGTTCGAAGTGGTATTTGCGCAAAGTACAAAAATTGTTGCATCACCCCTTTAAATTATTACTTCAGCCGAAGACGAAAATATGTATCGTTGAAATTCTCCGGCAATAGCGATCCCCCTCGGTTCTTCGCAATGATCTCTGCAGCTCTAAACGGACAATCGCTGGGACACGGATAACCACCTCCACTTATTTGGAGCAACAAATGTCTCCCCCTACAGTTCACTTTAGGTAAAACTTTATTTAGCCTAACGTTCGTCTACATACATGTATACTCGTCCACGTCTGCGTGGTGACTGAGTGGCATTTTTACTTCTTTGTTCATCAAATTTTAACCAAGTGACGGTTAAAAAACATTAATAGCGATTAACGCATTGATCGATTTATTGGTAGGTTAATCGATCGAGTGCCCAGCGCTAATATACCGAATTCACCAGACAGTTTGACTACGCCACCGCTGCCACAATGCATCGAGGGAACTTCAGTATTAGGGCACGTGCGACAACCTCGCTAGAGGTCTGCGCGTGTACAGCACGAGACGGAACAAGCCCTCTCGTGCACTGCCGTTTGCCTCCAGTGAACTAAAGTTATGGCGGCGTCACGCATGCGCCGAGCGCTTCGTGAAATCGGTCTATTCGAAAACTTATTTTCGGAAACCTATATTTTAGCGATATTTTAGCTTGGTCGAGGAGGCCCACCTGAAGAAATGCACCTGTTCTGGAATGCAGTGCGTGTAGATGTTGTGGGTGCCCACGTGCTGCATAGCCGTCTCCATGAGCTTAGTGGCGATACCACGTCTTCGGTACGGTGCTGCGACGCCCATGAGGCAGAGGTACGCGATATCCGTGCCCACGAACGGGACAGCGCATGCGCCGTAAAGCTCGCCTGTCGGGAGGGAAGGAATAAAGGCTGGTTCACACTGCCCCATTTTCTTACGTTAAGTTACGTTTCGTGTAAGTCTCCTAAACATTCGTGTCTCGAATGTCGCGTGTCATGCTTTCTCCTTTAACTGGTAGCCCCGCTTAATATGAAGCACAGAGGCCCCGGTGACCTCAACGTAATATTTCGTATCGTAACTTAACGAAAGAAAATGGGGCGGTGTGAACCAGCCTTAGAATGAAGATGAGAATTATGTGCAGACCGTTTTACTATGACAGTCACAGTTACTATGTTAAATTCTAACATATATAGTTGGTGCCGAGCGACGGAATCTGCGTGCAGCCATTTTTGTATTCTAGGGTATACAAATTGCGTTCCGGGGACACGCAGTAGGCTTTCAATGAAATATTCTGTGCCGCTTACGTGTCCATGGCCTAGTGACCAATCAGATTTTTCGCCTAGGTGATATACTCCGAAAATTCGTATATGTTCTATTCTCCTTTTCTGGAAAGGTTCACTTTATTACAGGAAGCTCCGCTCGTTTTTCTCATTAAAACACCTCGGTGATGTTCCTAATTTTCTTCTGTTCCGAATGCTTATCTTTTCATTATTAGGGATACGTGATCCTATCTCATCATTCAAGGCGGTCTAGGAACCCAAATACTAGTTGCTTACTAACCACGCATGAAGCATATACTTTAGAACAATCGCTTGCGGTGCAACGTCACGGTCTGAGACGGAAATTCAAGTTTGAGCTTCCTGAATATTAATTACTAAGATCAGTCGTATACGCGCGCTATGCTCCACGATGTGATTCGCTGCACTCTGTACCTTGTGTGTCAATGTACGGGGTGTCCCTGAAAAAAAAACGGTACAGGGTTCTTTTCACCGCAAAAATAAACTACGCATCACCGAGCGCTCATTCTCCATCCGAAGGCAGCGCTATCCGAACCAGATTCCAGTTTCAGTGGGAACCGAGATTTTATTGAAACGTTAAGGGTGATTTCCTAAAAAAAAATGTGAATGGGAAAATGGTGGCCAACGGAGCTCTCTAATACATGGAGCACTATGGAGCCAGATACCGAAGGCGGCAGAAAATGAGCCCCATTTTATCAGTAAAGTTTTCAGAAAATCACTTAAAATTTTTGAATAAGATATCCGTTCGTGCTGAAACTTCGCATCTGGTTCTGACCTCTATAGCGCTACCTTTCCGCGACGAGTGAGTGTTCAGCGGTGCATAATTAATTTTTGCAATAAAAAAAAACTGTTTTCCTGTTTTTTGGGACACCCTGTACAATAAAACTGTCCACTTGATTGCGGCGGGTAGATCAGTTAACGTAGAAAACTTATATTAAGAAAACTAAACAATTTAACTGAGTTCTAGGTTTATAACTTGCGTTGAATTCATACGCTTACTTGCAGCTTATGTAGCTCACATACTGTGCATTTTTAGAAGAGAGTTAGTTTCGGTTGCCCACCAATGATGTCCTAAATTTAACCCACAACTGCCAGTATATGACTTCGTTCGAAAAAAGTTTCCGTGCTTCCTTAAAAATAATGTATGCTAACAACTTAAGACGATTCTTTGACGCCAAGTTAAGGCTGCTCTATTTTCTGGAAGTGAATAAACTTGCGCAGCTATCGTGGCCCCATGTTGTACACATAATGTTATGAATCGAGGGGCTCGCTCTAAAAGGGGCGGGAAAAATTGGCACCTGCGCGTAAGACAATCCTATTCTTTACCAAATATAATGATAATAATAAGAAACTTGATTTCGCATTTCAATGCATAAATGGAGAATACGAAGGAGAAAAGCTGTAAAGCCACCTTGGGAGAACCCCCTGCTCCCTTGCAGTTTAATATACAGAAGTCAAAACAAAGCAACAGCGGAAAGGAAAACAAGAAAACCAGCAGAACAAGTTTAAGTACAAAATTAAACAGGTTTCATAAATTGATCCATTCGTTATCGTCCCACTATACACCACTCATTTCGTAAACGCTGCAATGTAATATAAAAATGATCAATGCTTTCTTCTCAAGAGTAGGGAGTGTGAACTTGAGTGTTTGCTTAAAATAATTACAATGACACAGTGGCTCAGTTCAATGGTCCACCGAACGAGTGGGGTAGGAAGTAACACGTTCCATTTATATGCTAGTCGTGAAGTTTGCCTCCTAAAATATCAAGGTGCGCATCTCCTCCTGTGAAACGTTAGACCAGGGGTGGCCAGGCTGAGCCGCAAACAAAATCACGAACCTTCTAAGAGCCGCGGAAAGGGAGGGGGGGGGGGGGGGGGGGGTCAAACTTAAACTTTGTTTAGAGTCTGACTGTACGTATGGGGGCACAAGCTGCACGACTGTACGTATGGGGCACAAGCCTGCCAAACCGCGAGCCGTGCTTGGTTCTAAAATCCTTTTTTTTTTTTTTTCCTGGGGAAACGCAGAAAGGGACGGGGGGGGGGGGGGGGGGGGGCCCTTACGAGGGATCCGCGGGCCGCACTTGGACCAGCAAAGAGCCGCATGCGGCTCGCGAGCCGCCTGTAGCAGCTTGCGTGCGTGCAGGCCCAGCGCGTCCGCAGCGTTTCCTCCTTTTTGCCTGCGCAGCTTCCTCGCGCCGCATGCGTCGAGGGAGCAACGATAGCGATGATAGCTTTCAGCGCACCAAGAGGCGCAACGCCGAAGCTTGGGAAGCGCCGAGCGAGGGGCGTATACACATCGGAGTAGGACACACACCCTCGCCCCTAAGTTCACTTGCAGGCGGCGCAGCCTGTACCGAGTGCTCCTCTATTCGTATTTCATTTTCCCCCGATAGTACATGAATGTATAATTGCAAGAGGCTAGTGGAAAAGGGGAGTTTCAAGGTCTTCAGTGCGTTTACTGAGCCAGGAAAGGTGACATTGACGAAAAACATTTTCTGAAACATAAAACAACACTGCATATCACAAAAAAAAAAAAAAATCTGCACCGCGTCATGCGAATTTTTAAAAAGTCATCCCAGCACATTCGTACTTCGCAACTTTACCACGGGCTAAATATGCGGCGGTGGTGACGCCGGCGCTTTCGCTGCTCCACCCCGGATCGCACCGGCTCCTCCGATTGACTAGACTCTACACGGCTCTGACCGAGGGTAGCGCCACCTCCAGATATACACAGTATGACGACGGCACTCGGTCGATAGCAGACAACGCCGTCGTTTGCTTGCTTCGTCTATCAATCAAGGAGGTGAGAGACTCTCCCACGGCCCTCTTCGTTCTCTTCGAGTATTTTGCCTGCCGGAGTAAAAGAAAGGCAGACGGTTGGCACGCACCGTCCTCCGTGATGGCTCCGTAGATGCTGCCAGGGTCCACTTTCCAGTAGGTCTCCAGCTGATGAGTTCCCATCAGCACGCCGTTTTCTATGCGAAGCGGCTTGGTCAGGGGCAACTCCTCCCAGAGCAACGGACGGACCGTGTAGCTCTTTAGTTCCGTCGAGGTCATCGGGCGCTAGAACCACAGGAGAACAAAACTTGCCACTACGGTCCCTGGAACGCGCCTCTGCGGAGAGCAAGTTCGTCTGCTTCTTGCACAGGGGTTGCAACGATGTCAGATTGCCGAATTCCCATGGGCTGGTTGAAAAAAAAAGTAGGGGGTAGAACTCAAGACATCTAGCATTAATGTCTACCCACTATCCTTCCAACCAAAGCCAATCAGAACTCGGCGTCGTTCTGACATCACCGCAACGCCTGTGCAAGCAGCAAACGACTTGCTGTCCGTATACTTCGTTTCACCGCAAATCATGGCGCAGCTACGAGCCGATGGGACCAATCAGACAGCGTCCAAAACCAAACGTCATGGTGTTCTTCGTGTTTCTGTTCGTGTTGAATCATTGCTAAGCCAATCATGTACAGGGAAGGCCCAGTGACATGGGCTTTCAGTGTGTTTGTTTGTGTTGTATGTGTTCGTGCCTTCCACTGAGGTCGGATGTTTGATGAAACAAAGTATAGGGCTGGTCTTTACCGCGTCTTTGTTCTCATCCCACGTGACGATACAGATGAGAAAGGATGGCCGCGGTCCTGGTGGTGGCATGGCAACAGATGGGGGCTACAGGCGTCTATAGACCGTCACACCGTTTACAAACACGTCCGTGTTTTCCCACACCAGTTGGGGCGTGCGCAGGAACCAGATTCTCGTGAAGCGTGTGGGCATGCGCAGTGCCGACAGCAGCGCCACCGCAGTGCCGTGATGTAAGAGAATTCATGAGAACGCTGAGGAACGAATCTATACTTCTTTTCAGATTCAGTCCAGCCGCAGCCGACGTTACGAGCGAATGAGACTAATCAAGCGGTGTGTGAAGCGTCAGCCACTAGGTTTTTTTCTGCTGACGATTGGTTCAGCGATGATAGAACAAGTACAGAAAAATGACGAACGCAATGATGGTGCGCTTTTGACGCTCTCTGATCGGTCCTACCAGCTCGTAGCCTCGGCTGCGTCTGGAGTTAAGGTGAAACTAAGTGTATACGGCGAGTAAGTGTTTCAAAATGCGTCTGTGGCGCATCGGAATATAAGGAGAAGTACACGAATCAAAAGACAACATAGAGAAGGCGCAGGGAATGCGTAGTGACGAGCAGTCGACAGCGCACCATCGTTGGTAGAGGTCGGGGGGGGGGGGGGGGGGCAAAATTGCGTGGGTGTGTTTAGGGGGTAATAAAACGCACGAGGTGTAAAAATAGCAGACGAACTTACACGCCGTATAGGGAGTATTCACTGGCGGCCATATTCGTGTGTGCTGCTGCTGAGCGCGTGCTGACGGCGAGCTTCCGCAGTCCTTTTGGAGCGTGCATTTAGCACCATGAACGTTGCCGGTCTTAGCAGGCTATTAATGTAAGCTCGTTTTGAGCATGCGCTCTAAATATCACCCTCAAATATGGCGTCCAGTGAATACCTCCTATAGGGAGTATTCACTGGTGTCTATTAGTTACGAGATGTTTCGGTGGCGCCCTCGTTTGGTTACCTTTTGTGACGTCATTACCTTGTGAAAAACAAGTTCGATGGTGTGTGTAATGAGCATAGTGAAAGCCTCAAATCATAGCGCTCTCAAAGCAACACTGCCAACATCGTCAAAATTGAAGTTCTCACATACCTTTTATTTGCGTCGATGAGAAACCCTTTGCTGACATCATAGTCAGCATTCGGCCAATGGTAGTGGGCCAACCACAGCGACGCTTTCGATCGCTCACGTCACCAATAGCTGTGTGTGCGAATGCTGAGCGCGTGCTGACGGCGAGCTTCCACAATTGTCTTTCAACGTGCATTCCGCACCGTCAAGATTGCCGGCCTTAAGCCTATTAACGTGAACTCGTTTTGAGCATGCGCTCTGAACAGTGCCCTCAAATATGGTGTCCAGCGAATACCCGCTATAGTAGCAAGAAGCGTAAGCATAATGAGCAACGCCCTGCGTTTCTCAAACCAACACCAGCAGAAGGCCTCCGCGCTGTCATGACAGTCAGCTCGATCGAGGCCTGAGATTGGGCACGAGTGCTGCGTCGGTGTTCGGCCGGGACCCGTGTTCAATAAGTGCGTTGATGGTCGGACTCGGGTCCAATGACCGAGTTAGCACCGCGATCCGACTGTGATGAAGTTTCATGAATGGAGAGGAGGCGATGCGGAGTCTTTGATTGTTCCAGGTGGTGTTGCTCAAACTGTCAGCGTGAAAGTAGCTGTTCCTCTGAAGCTAGTTAAGCTTTGTAGCCGATCAGTCGACAGAAGCCCCGACAGTCACGGGTTGAGACGTAGTCACCTCTGTCCAGCGGCGTAGGCTGGATTTCCTTTCAAAGGGGGGGGGGGGGGGGGGGGGGGGTTCAGGCCATTGGGATCAAAATTTTCTAGTGCTCTTCAGTAGCTCTTGTGAACTTTTTTGCGGACACTATAGTAGACACACCAGCCAGAAACCCGTTCCAAGAATTGTACTTGTCACTGACCCTACAGGCAACCTATTAAATTTGTATTCATAAGGCTTTGTGTGGTGCGATCGTGTCCCACGTAAGCTACAGAACCGGCATTCGATTTTAAGCTTCCCAATAAAACACCAAATCGTCGATCGGTCCCAGGAAAATGTAAATTGAGACTAAAAGGGATAATTAAATATTTGTTTATTCTACTTTCGATAAAAGCTGTCTGAAATTAATTCCTTACCCTCATACAACACTAAATGAGTATTTCTTTTATTATTTCCACCCGCTACATTGTATTCAGACCTAAATTAACAAGGATATTGGGTTTCTGCTTATGCATTTGATTTGATTTGAGTCGTTTATTTGTTTTAGGTATTACTACTAGGTACATGATAGTATAGTTCGTTGCAACTCTAGAAGGTAGGGCGAGGGAAAAGAAGGACGGGGAGGAGGAAGCAGACGAAACACTAAAGGGAGGAGGTTTCCCTCTCTCCTCACCAGCGTTCCGTCTGCTTCCTCCTCCCCGGCCTTCCTCCCCCCCCCCCCCCCCCCCTACCTTCTTGATATGCAACGGAATATAGACGGGTGTGAAAAAAAGTGTCACAAGGACAGCTTGACGGGGTTGGAGGCCTCCGAATTGACATTTCTGCAGCACAAGAAAAAGAACCATGTCTAGATGCAGGTAATTTCCACCATTAGAATCAATACTTAAAAAAAAAAAAAAAAACATTAGCAAGAAATTAAAAAAAAAGAAAGAAGAAAAAAGAAATTAAAGAAAACATCGGCATGCAACTTAGCATAAAAGAAAAAAAAAAAGAAAAGCGCGAATCAAAGATGTGGGAACGCTTAAAATCGATTAGAAATAAACATAGTGACGATCACGGTTTTCTCATCATTACAGTGTGCACTTTACACACGCATGCTAACACAAGTGTGTGACACCTATCGATGACACTAAGCCAGAAGCTTCTTTGCTGGGATGTAAGTTTTCTTTATACACATTTCTTTTATTTGCAAGAATAAAAGTGGTTTATTAACGTTCTTAAGCTCCCCACTCTCCCAGCGCTAGATCAGGAGAATTCACCATCAGTGGGTGTGGCCGGACAAGAGGAGAGTTTACTTAGCAACCGCGCTCGCAGAAATCTGAAGTGTATTCTTTACCGCGAGGCACTTAGGCGCTGACACCTACGGAGACGGGATAGACAGTATATTTAGGTCTAAGGGTAAAACCGCCAGCGCCGCGGCACTGAGCCTGCGTATTGCTATGCTCAGTGCCACAGCGCGGAGCGGTTTCTTTTTCTTTTATGTTTAAACAGATTTTTTGTCTTATCATTCGCCATAGATTGCAGCGATTGGCTTTCTCAAGTGCTTTGCCTTGCCTTGGCTTTGCACGGCAAGTAGAGGCTCCAGATTTTCAGAGTGTGAAGGAAAGAAAATGATGTTTACGGAAGTATGGCGATCGATGTGTTCGAAGGATGCCAGGGATCCTAAAATGAAATTTGATTTGTACTGCCCAACAAAGTAACGACAAATTCATTGAACAATCCCCCCCCCCCCCCCGCAATTCAGGTGATTGTTTGGAAGATCGAGCCAGGCAAAAACACGGTTATTCTAGTTTGGAAACGAGTAAACGTTATTGACTTAGCTCAAAGCTTGCCGTGGTATGCCAGAATACCGATAGAGCAGCGAGGTTAAAAGTAACAATGAAGAGTTTCACAAAGCTTGCCTTTTTGCTGTGACTGACAGAACGGGAATGGTGCCGATTTGTGACGAAGGAACACTTCTTTTTCGTCGAATGACTGAATTCGCATTGGTGGATGATGATGCCAAGTCCTACACCAAACGAAAATATGAGAGAATTCTTTCGTCGTCCCTCTTTCACTCGGTGAGTTTGCAGGCCCTGCGTGGGCTGCTAGTAATTATATTCTATTGCGGAATATGTCTTAGAGTAGACGGAATTGAATGAATGACTAGCCTGTAACAAAATTGCCAGAAAAAAGGAATTTTGAAATGTTGGTGAAGTCAATGCATCCTTTGTGAAGATTTGTGAAGAACCAAATATGTATATATATATAACGTTTGCATAAACTAAGAATTCTTCCTTTTCAAAATTTGCGCACAGTTCACCTTTGTAATTCAAGATATATGTGCCGCTCTGGCAGGCTCTGTAGGAGTGTGAGTTGGGAATTTATTTAGGTGGCAAACATATATCGCCTTTAACATGTTCTACCAAAGAAAATGATACTCGACAATGCGCCCGAACAGTTCTCAGTGAGAAAAATGCATTCATCCGCCTTGCAACTGAGATTGAATAGCTTGCAACTGAGATTGAATAGATATTGGAGTATAACCTATCGGACTTTCCACTGGTTGAGTTGATTAAAGAAGACTAATGATTGGTGTTCAGTCAGAACGGTAGGCAGTATGCACGTAAAGAGTTTCCTATAAAGTGTGGAAAACAAACCTATGTAAGACAACCTTAAACAGAACGATGCGCCGAAATCGCTGCTGATGTTGATTCACGACGAGATGCTTTAGCACTAAGCGCAGAAGTTCCGACTCAGCGAAGGATGGGAATTCGAACCTCGCAAAGATTCGCAAGCTATTGTATTCGGGGAGTCAGTCTGTCATTCCGGGCGTCGACGGTTTATACTCCGTTTCAAACATCGCGTGCAACGCTGGGAAAGCTACTGAAGTAGTGCGCATGAAAAAACACACAAAATTGTGTTACTCCGCGAGATTTCGTGGACGAGTGGTACAAGGCGCTGCTCTGGCGATGCCGGCGATGCCGACATCTCGGTGGCGGTGGTTCGAATCCACTTAAAACGCAAAGGTGTTTTTTTTTTTTTTTTTTTTTCTTGACCGATTTTTTGTGCAAGGTTCTGGGTATTGCGGAAGTGCATATTTCAATTCCTCTTTTCTTGTTGATTTTTATTTATAAGAAGGTAGACTAGGGGCTGGTGTTCCGCTCGAACTTGCGCCGGCCTCGTCAAAACGGAAGAACGGTCGAGATCCAGGGCGTCTCTATTTAAAGCCGTTTCTTTACATGGTAGCGTGAAAATCAGAGAGTACCTTGAGAGTGTGGTGGACGGTCCTTTATATAACGAATATTGTGATTAGGGGACCGCACTGCCATTGTTCAGACGGCTTGGCATCCCCTCACGTGATGTGACTTCATGGAAGTTTCCTTCAGAGTCAGAATACTCGCGGGTGTATGGAAGAAGTCATCCAGACGGCAGTATCTCGGTGCTCTGGTGCCGGCGCCCCCATGAACCGGGAGTGATTCACAATAGACGCGTACACAACACACGGCACTCGAGATCAGGATCGAGTGTTGTTTCCTTTTCGAGGAAAGCAGGGGCCTCGGAATAGAGGCACGGGCATGTGCGTCGTTTACTCAGCCGACCAAGGTTAAGGGGTTAAGGTGCCTCAGGCAGACGGAGCCGACCAAGGTTACGGTCCTGCAGGCAGAAGAACCCAGACGCTTCGGAATGCAATCACGGGCACCGCCTGCTGTAAGTTCCCGCAAGCAGACGGAGCCGTAGGCACGATTCATCACCGACACAGTTCCTTCTTGAGGCTTGTTTCACTTTGAAGCCATAAGGCCGATTTCAACACCAGAAATAACAGGTGGCAGTTCACAACACTGTCCGCGTGCTCGGAACTTTTACGTTGCGAGGTCTTCGCTTCGGGGACGCCACCTTGCCAGACACTCCGGTGTCGTTACTGACACTCTCCAGGACCTCACGGACCGACGTCTCCGGGAAACACGTTCTTGAACTCGCGTACACGTTGGCGATCACCTGCTTGCACTTTTGCGAGACCTTCACACAACGAATCTTCGAAAATATCCGAGCAGGAAAAGAAAGCTTCCCGCGTAAGACGCCATCTTCACGAAACCTTCGAGGCAGAGGCAGCCGCACAACCCGAAACGAGTGCGAGTGCCACACGAACGAAAACGGAAAATAATTTGGAGTAGTTAACATTATCTTTTCCTTTTTATTGAAAAAGAATCGGTGTTCCCTCGAAATCATAACGCCACTATTAGTTACTAGCTACAAAGATGTACACTTTTCGACTTTTTTTTTCTTCTTTTTTTTCAGGGGCCGCACTATTTTGTGGAGCGAACGTAGTCGCGGTCGGCTGTGCAAACCGGCGCGCTAGCTTTGACTACGTTGCACGCTATGTTTGAAACGGAGTATAGGATGCAGCCACCACAGAGTCCATCGATGGCCGCCGACGCGGTCCGCACTGTCGTCTTTGAAGGGCCAATTTTTCCTCCCGGTGTCGGCGGTTTCGCGCAAACAGCGTGGTCGCTGCGCTCAGTTTTACGCGGTCGCGTATAGGTTGCAGCACGGCGGCTTCATCCCCTCCTTTTTCGCTCCGGCGGCACGTCATTGGAAGCAAATTTGTTGGACGCGCGCTAAAAGACTGTTTCCCTCTTGTTATCGGGAAAGTGGACGTCACGGGAGAACGAACGGGGCTAAAGAGCACGGCGGGAACCGCGCATCGGCTTCAGGACACCGGGGCAGTCAAGTCCAGACCATAACAGTCGGGACAAAAGACGGCTGCATGCACCAGGGCAATAAGTACTAATGCATTTAAAAAAAGAAGAAGAGAAAACATAATGCGTCAGATTTCACAGAAAGCGCATGGAAAGCGCCTTTTTCGCTGCAATCTACCTGCAAGCCCAAAAATTAGACACTTAAAAAAAAAGTAGTCCTCGTTGTAGCATCGCGCAGGATGTTTGTCACGCTTACGTCATGATCAATGTGACAGTGCACTGTTTTTCTTGGTCTAAATATATTTTCCGCCTCGTCATTCACTGAGCCCTTTCTACAGACAGCAGCGAATAGCTCTAAGTGTTCGGAGGGAAAGTAGACGCACTTGACGTTTTGGATGATTGTTTTTTTGTTTTGTTTTGTGTTTGCAAAAGACATTGCACATTTGACATCACGGCAGAAATTCATTCTGAGGCATTGTTCTTTTTATTTGCTTTATAAACGCAATAGACCTATTGATATATTACCGAAGCATCAAGGAAAATGCAGGGATTGGTGTTTCACGCGTCACACACGCACGTCTTCCCCATATAAAAGATTCGAAGTAAAAAAAAAAAAATAAATAAAGCGTTGACGAACGCGCATGCAATGGGCTTTTTGTTTTAGGTATTTACTTTAAAAAAGTTACTTCTGCTGACACCAGCACGTGCGGAGCGTGGAACACCAATCCCTGCATTCTCCTTGATGCTTGGGTACTATAGCAAAAGGACTATTGGACAAAACCCATTCGCAGCGAAAACGCTTGTTTAATTTCTTTCCATTTCTTTTTTTTTAATAGAGAACAAAAACCCTCGACATGTCGTTGTCGAAACCGCCGCGTCTCCTGAGGAGCTTGAGCTCGTGGATGGACTTGAGGTTGAACTTCTTGAAGAAGTTGTGGGTCTCGTAGTTTTGGATGCAGCCGACGGCCCAGACGCCCTTGGTGAAGACTCCAGGGAAGCCCCTGAGGAGGGACCCGAGCAGCAGTTCCGCGATGTCCGTCGTGTCGGCACTCAGGTGGAACACAATGGCCGCTCCGTGAACGCCGTCGCCGATGAAGCCGTAGCCGGCGATCTGGTTGTCTTCGCGAACGGCAACACGAATCATCGTGTTCTTGGAGTGCATCAGCCGTCCCAGAAAGGCCGACCTGAGTTTGAATTAACATAGATGAACAAATCCCATTGAGATTTATGAGGAGAGCCCCTACGGTCGTCTTCCACACCCGCGCATGCTCAGTTCTCAATTTACCTTAAACAGCTCTATAGTATAGGAACACGATATAAAGTTGTCTGATCTTGAGCCCTACAGACTAACGGGTTCTGAAGCAAACAATAATCGCTGACTGCTCTGTACACAGAAAGGGTTGACAGACATGTCTATGTTTATCGCCAGCTGGTAAGTCACAACTGTTCGCCATTGTTTGCCGTGGCGTAATGGTGCCTCTTACCTAGATAATTCTAAAGGGAGGAATTAAAAAAAAGAAAAAAAAAACAACAACAACATATACTCCGTTGTCACTAGGACACTTGGATTATCAACCTAATTCCACGAGGCATTCGCCCTTATTCCTTCTGTGAACAAGTTTGTAGACGTCGATTAAGCGTTACAGCACAGGTAAGAATGACAGAAACTCAAGGAATTTCAAACGAGCAAAAACTGTTCGCGTTGTGGCATTTCGATAATATAAAGCCGTGAAAGGTGGAAAAAAAAACGGTGTTAATATATATATATTTTTTTTTTTCAATTGGCCATTTCAGATGAACTGTCGCTGCGATCGGGGGGGTGGGGGGGGGGGGGGGTAGGGCGCAGTGCACGCTTTCGTTACTCTCATGTACATTGTGGAGAAGTAGGGACGCTTAAAGCTTGAACGCGGTGTACTTGAGGAGACGTCACACGTACCTGTTAAACCCAACGACGTCCGTGTCGTACTCCATGAGCATTTCGTGCACACCACGGTCTGACTCGAGGACGCGTATCTCGGGTATAGACTTGATAGCGTCGTCGATCTTGGGGATGCAGGGTCCCATGATCTGGAAGACCCTCGGACTAACGTTGAACTGGTACCTGTTGAGGTAGATGTGCTCGTGTTCGGGGATGCACACGATGTATGCGTCGGTGTCCCCGATGTGTGCCATGGCCTTGTTGGCCAGCAGAGTGCCCAGCCCTTGGTTCCGGTACTGGAGCATGAGGCCGTGCATGCACACCTTGGCCATGCCTTCGCCGATTAACGGGCTGCAGCACGAGCCCATGATCTCGCCTGCGGGGGCCACACGGAGAGTCTATCTTAACTTCGAACGGGGCCAAAAGCGAGTTGCAACACAGACGGACAGAAAAAACGTGATGCCACGCCACATTTTTTTGCGCTTTATTGGATCAGTAGACAATACCATATGCTTAAAACACGAACATTTCGTGACTTGCCGTCTTCAGAGGAGCTTGATTGCTCCCATTGAGTAGTAGCGTTGGTATCTGCCGAACGTATAATTAAACGAGTCACAAAATAGCCCGTATGTAAAGCAAAGTAACTGCCCGAGTTCCTGGTTCGGACAATACGGCTATTTCAACAATTTTGTACTTTGGGTTTTCATCTTTGTGTACTTGGCAGTACTGGGTGCCTGCGGAATAGCCCTCTCCTGCGGAATATCTTCCACCGCTCAGTGACTCGACATTTTTGTTTAAATGATAAGCGCTAGAAGGGCTATAAGCTGCGAAACAGCTTTCCAGCGCTTATCACCCGAGCGAAAAATGTCGACTGTCTAAGCTGTGAGCGCATGCGCGGAGTCTTATATTCGGCAGAAGAGACCTACTGTGCAGTGCAAGCTCACAAGGCGTTCTCCAGCCCGGTAGACAAGGATGTAAGCACGCAGAAGGTGATTTTTGCAATGGTCTTTACTCCATATCATCCCAAGTTAGAGCGCAGCCGATGTTACCAGCCGATGGGATTAATCAAGCGACTCCAGAAGTGTAACCTCAAGGCACTTGTCGTCTTTGTGCGCATGCTTTCCCAATCTAAACCAATCAACTACAATGAGTGGAAAGTATCCCTGCCAAAGTGTTCACTTGTGTTTTACTTCATCCAGATTTTTTTTTACTATGCTTTGATTTATGGAGGAACAACGCATTATATAATTTTGAACGTTTAATCATTTCGGGAGACGGAGTTATATCTATATATACAACTAGACGTCATGATATGAATGAAAAGACTGTGTGCGCGCAGGCGAGTTGGGGGTGGTAGCTAATCTTGTCGTTAACACCGCAGACCGTGGTGCAGAGAGAGAAAAACTCCTACTCGAAGGAACATACCAAGAAGGGAACGCCTCAAACTCAACTAACTGGTTCATTTCTCAAGCATCCTACATATACCCACACAGTCACTTTCAACCAGAATATATGCAAATATCCATTTCGTTGAAAGCATTTTCAAATACATAGAACATACACATTCACAAGAGACCATGCGGTCAAACCAACTGTACAATCATTCTCAACCACCTTCAACAAAAATATATTTTTTGTTGAAAGCATATTTAAATAACACAGCTAGGTGATTGGTGCGAGACCGAAAAAATCCGCCTGGTCCAGGTATTGAACCCGGGACATCTCCATTACAAGTGAAGCGCTCTACCAACTGAGCTAAGCAGGGGTTAGACGTCAGCAGAGCAAACGGGTTTTATCAGCCGCCACCAGTCTAACACCAACAAGGGTGAAGCTTGCAATTTAAGATGATAATTAAAATGCAATTAAATGCAAAGGTGCATATTTAATTAAGGAGAACACACACATTTACTAGAGACCACGCGGTCGTGCCCATAATACAATGCCCTTCTTATCAAGGATGACGGGAGAGGGGTTGGGACCTGTATCTGGTTGATCTCAGGAACACGGAGACTGCCGCGCTTTGTACCCCACCCGGGCAGAACTTCCCACATATTGCAACCGCTTCAAATAACTTTTCCTCAAAAAAAAAAAAAAAAAGAAGACGAAATAAGATAAAATAAAATAAAAGAAAGCACTAATCAATGTTCTAGAGGAGTTTCATGGAAAACAATGTTCTGTTTCGTCCATGAACATAAATGATTTATACTATTCACTAGAAAAAGCCCGCTTGTAGGAAAGAGTTAGACAAGTGATAGATCTGAATTTGGTAAACCTTTAGTTAGGATAGGCGTCGCCGTAGACGGCTTCCTTTCCTTTCTTGAATTGTACCTTCAGGCAACAGTTGTTGATTATAAGTGTCAGAAATATATTCAGAGGGGTGGTGTATTCTTCGGTTTCTTTGTGGCTCCGATGTTAGCAGAAACCTACTTAAACGCCTTAGATAGTGCTGTAAATGACCAGCTAAACGAAAAGAAACTAGATGGTTGCTTTGCCGGGAGGTACGTTGATGACATTTTTATTTTCGCTTTTCGAGAGAACAATTCACGTGGTTTGGAATCAATAAGAACAAACGCTGCAGGACTGAAGTTTACAGCGGAACGACCTGAAAAATGAGACCCTGCTATTTCTTCATCTAAGCATAAATGTACAGCGGGGTCTTTGCGGGAATACAGAAAAAGAGTCGCAAAATCGGTCTTACGCAGAAATAATTGACACGCTAAATCGGCAAAATCAGAAATCGTAAAATATTTAATAACAAACACGCTGAGCAAATTGTGTACTCTTTCTATGGGCAGTGCAGTGAAGGAACAATGGCTGAGGTAGAAGCCGCAGGATATGAAGAGGAATTCATAAAAAAAAAGCAGTTAGAGTTGAAATTCAAAGATGGACATCAGCAAATGGAACGAAAAAGACAGAAGACATTAGGAATCCCGTATTTTCATGAGATTTCATATAATTTAAAAGATTGCGCCAAAGGTTTGGAGTGGACGCAATATTCCCCTCAGATTTAAAAAACAAATGAGCCGGTAAAAGCCATTTCAGTCAAACCAGAGAGGCTGACAGAAGGCTAATCGGGAACCTTGAGTGCCTTGCGCAGAGAATGTGGTGTACGAGATTGCGCCAACATGCGGGTTCAAGTACATGGGACAAACCTCGAGATGCGTGAACGACAGGTTATTAGAACAGAAAAGAAATGTAAGCACAAATGGGTCGAACTCATAAATCACATAACCCATTAAGAAATGCGGCAATTGCGCTGCGTAGTGCTCAGAAATGAAAGTTCTACATAAAGAGCGGAATAATAGAAACAGAGTCGTGAAAGAAACAATAGAATAAGGTCTATTGGAAGCTGCATACCCAAGCTCCGATGCAACTTGGGAGCTACGGCAAAAAAATTATCAGATTATAAACAGCACCTAGAACTGTTCTATTCTTTTTTTTTTTTTTTTTAGAGAGAAAGGTATTTGAAGCGGGAACATTGTTTGGGAAGCTTTGCTCGAGTGGGGGTACAAAGCGCAGCAGTCGCCCTGTTCCTGAGGGCAAACAAATGTAGGTCCGAAGCCCGCTCCCGTCGTCCTTGACGATAAGGGCAGTGTACCGTGCTTGACCGCGTGGTCTCATGTAAACATGTATGTTCTCTGTATTTGAAAATGCTTTCAACAAAGAAGATCTCTGCATGGAAGGTTGTCGAGAATGATCGTATGTATGGTTTGACCGCATGGTTTCTTTTGGATGTTTATGTACTTAGTATCTGAAGAAGCTTTCAACAAAAGAAATATTTGCGTAGACGGTGGTTGAGAGTGACTGTGTGGCTATATTAAGGATGCTTGATAAATGAACAAGTTGGCACATGTTGGTGGCCGATACTAATGTTCCTATTAGGAAGCGAATGGTGGCTCACAGCAGAAGATTGAACTGAATGACGCCATTTCGTTCCCACGTAATGCGCTTCATCAGTTGTTTAGTTGTCGTTACATGCAAAAAGAAGCATCAAGAGACTTTAGCCGAAACCGTTCGAGTGGAAAAGAAAAGTAGACGCGAGTTTTTACTTCGCTTGTATAATACTGGAGGCATGAAAAGAAGACGGATTCCTGCTCCGCGTTCTATGAACATTGGTTTAAGCGGGGTCTTCATTTGGAAAAAAGGTCGAAGTGTCATTTCATGGTCCTTTTAAAATAAAACGAAGTATAGACACGCAGCTTCAAATTTCCGCACAATAGTGAAGTTTAAAAAATATGTGCTCATACCGACCGAATATGTAAGATGTGTCGGCAGGCCAAGTCGCCTATAGAAAACATTTTGGCGGTAGTACGATAATAGCAGCATCATAATTTTATTATAAGGCAAGCTTGCCTAATGTAAGAATCCTCGATGACGGTCATAAAGAAAACAGTAATTCAAACATGTTTTTAGTACTTGCGGTCGTGATCGATTGCTTTAATGTTTGCAGCTTATCAAAGGTCTTGGCAAGAAAGGTGTGGCTCTACTTGCATAATTTATGGCCCGATCGACACCGATGCAATACGACTAATGTAATACACAATTTGGGTGATGCAACTGTCAGGTACATTCATCGAGAATTAATGAAACATTTTTAACAGTTCGCGGTTAATATTTCCGTGGCAATTTTTCTTGTTGATAGGTGTCTTTATGATTACCTGACTCAGCGGATTAAGATGTGGAAGACGTAAACAGGAGAACATGTTTACGTCCGAGCTGATGTGTGCCGGTAGGTAAACAAGTTCCGATATCTATATATACACATTCAGGAAAAAGAAAAGAGTCAAAGTCTTACATCCCTCGCCCCATATAATACGCCCTAAAACTTCAGTTCGACAGATAGCATACTGTCGTCGAACCAGCGCTACCAACTTTAACGAGCGACTCGATAGGCGAGTTGTACAACTTATGAAAATAGTCAAGCTACGTGCAACTAACTACAAAAAAAAAAAAATCATCGTTTGTTTTCTGGCTTTACTGCAAAACCTCAGTGTTTTTTTTTTCTATAGTCTTTGATGCATACTCTCGCGATTTAATAACTCATATCGCACAGTTATCAAGCCCCTCGTAGAAGTTGGGGCCGTTAGTTCGATGTCAGTGCACTGTACGTCAAATTGAAGTTTTAAGGTTTATTATATGAGATAAAAGGGTGTAAGACTGCACTTTTTATGTTTGAGTGTGTAAACAGAATTTACTGACGGCCATAGTTGTGTGCTGTGCGGCTAAGTGCGTGTTCACAACGAGAGTTTACCAGATTATGTTTAGGTGATCAAAACAGCTGCTCAAGGCACTCGACAAGTTGCTTTGCCTGCAGCTTGTGCTGACGACGACACATGAATACTCCCTATACGGAAACACTAGTTTGAATACATGGCATATATATGTCCATACCAT